AAGCTATGCGATGATTTTAAACTATATAATGTATATTATAACCTTCGTTGAGTAGCCGACCCAATTTAGGGTTTAAGGCTGTAAAAGTTCAACTACGTAGCCTTGTAATTTTGAACCCAATCTAGAAGACAAGGGAACTCCTGGATCAATTATTGGGAGAAATTTGTCTTCGGGGACTTTTTGATGGATTTTACCAGCATTTGCGCTTCATGGAGAGGAAAAACTACGGAGACCTCCCACGGTTAGCCTGAAGGCAAGGAGACTCTCTAACCCATAATCCGTCAACCACTGAGGATATTTTAAGTAGGCACTGTGGTCAGTGCGAGTCGGGTATGGAATTCGCATAGACCAGCCATTGCTGGAATTCGAACCTAGTTCACCTCATTCGAAGGCGAAAGCTTTATCCCCTGAGCCACCACAGGTCTTTAACTATATATATAACCTTACTAAACTAAACTCATTAGCGCGACAGCCCATAGAGGGCCAAGGTCTACTGTGCTCATCTCAGTTTTCTTGACCTTGGGCTCTGGGGTGCAGAAGCAGATGTTCCGGTTAGGTGGTCAGCCGAACGCGAAACCCCAGTGTTTAGTTCCCAAGCATGCTTGGTACTCATTTATCGACCCACTGAAGGGATGAAAGGCTGAGTCAACCTTGCCCGGCCCGAGGATCGAACCCAGGACCTGTGGTACGGGAGAGCGAAGCGCTACCACTCAGCCACCAGGCTTCATATTTATAACCTTGTCGAGAAGAATTATGTGGGCTTTAGAGCAGACAAATAATTTAAGTATTTTAAAAGTTATTGAACGTTTTAAAAGTCACCAGTTTTTGACGACATTTTTCCACTTAGATGAAAATTATCACAATCGCTGTCGTATTCTCAGTTTTTGCAAATTTTTATGAGCCCAGGTAATGCAACATTAGAGTAAGTTTTTTCAAAATAAGCGTAGATAGCTGTGACTTTAGATAGGCTAAGCTTGACCTAACAGTCATGGGTAATAGTTGCAAACTTACAGTAGTTATGAAAATAGCATATTATTGGAGGAAAAAAAAACCCATCATTTCATATGTTTCATATGATGATGGAGCCTTCGAATAACAGCCGTAATGTTTTATTTTTAATTTGATAACTTTGATGAACTATTTTGATCCTATTAGATAGACCCATCAGACTTTTTGCTCGACTGTGGACTCTCGGTAGTTTTTATGCTAAATTTAGTAATAAAATGTATACATTTCTATTTAATTATTGCATTTTCAAATTAGGTTTAAATTAAAATTTATCACCGCTACACACAAATAAATAATATTTAAATTCTCCAACAATTTAAACAGATATACAGGGTCATTCATAATTCCCTCCGGGGTTTCGAAGCGTTATGGTAAAAAAACGAAGACGAATATGGCAAAAAAGAACATAGGTAATTATTCCGAAAGTATTCAAGTTTTAGTTTAAGCAGTTGCCGGTAGATGGCAGTAACATGTACCACTGAAGTCAGCTGTAGTAAAGAAAAATGGCGTTTACTGACGGAGGGAATTATAAATAACCATGTTTAAATAATCAGGTGATTACGCTTTGAAGTTCGAGTCACGTGTCAAGATAGTTGGCAAACTATCTTATATAACCTTTTCTTTGTCGTTGACAGACTTTTGTCAATCTCGAGTAAATATGTAAATAGTTGCNAATTTATCACCGCTACACACAAATAAATAATATTTAAATTCTCCAACAATTTAAACAGATATACAGGGTCATTCATAATTCCCTCCGGGGTTTCGAAGCGTTATGGTAAAAAAACGAAGACGAATATGGCAAAAAAGAACATAGGTAATTATTCCGAAAGTATTCAAGTTTTAGTTTAAGCAGTTGCCGGTAGATGGCAGTAACATGTACCACTGAAGTCAGCTGTAGTAAAGAAAAATGGCGTTTACTGACGGAGGGAATTATAAATAACCATGTATAAATAATCAGGTGATTACGCTTTGAAGTTCGAGTCATGTACAAGATAGTTGGCAAACTATCTTATATAACCTTTTATTTGTCGTTGACAAATTTTTGTCAATCTCGTGTAAATATGTAACTAGTTGCGTATATTTTATTACACGTGCGTAAACAAGGTGCGTAGCAAACTCTTTCAAGCACCTTTTCAAATAAGCACCTTTTAAGTACTTTTTAAGCACTTCCAAAATATTTTCTATATACATTACAAAATGCAAAATAATTTTCAAAGACTTTACATGATCATGATAAAATAACTAGTTTCTGACAAAGAATTCTTTTTCTTGATTATATTAGTCACCATAGAGAGATTTTTCGGTTCGATTTCAGAGGATAGAATGAAGTTTGAAATTGAGAATATCTTGCAAAATGCAGCAGAGTTGCACATGAAAGTGCAAGAATCTAACTGAACACAGCTCAGCAGACGCACGTGCGGATTTGTCAAGTATTTCATCAAACATGTAAAATGATTGGCTCTTTCATACGCTACGAAACGACGGTACGCCGGAATGGAGTGTGGTTGAATGAATGATGAAAACGTTGAATAGAACAATGAAAAGCACGCTTTTGCATAATATTTTATTTAATAACCGTCGTTGAACAGCCGACCCAATTTTTGGGTTTACGACTACAAATGTTCAACTCCGTAGCCTTGTAATTTTGAACCCAATCCAGAAGACTCCTGGATTGGGAGAAATTTATCTTAGTGGAGGACTTTGCCTTAATATTTGACGAAAATCGACATGGTAAAGAAAAAAAAATCTCTTTATTGACAAGGGAAAACTAAGCATTTTTTAAAACACCCAATGAAAAAAGCACCTTTAAGAACTTTTAAAAAACTAAAATCGAAAATAAGCACCTTTAAGCACTTTTTTTTACCTTAAGCACTACGCACCATGGTAAATGTTAATATTATTTTGACCACTGTAAATTATATTACATTCTAATCTAGTTTAAATCTCAATTATTAATTTCCTATCGATTTCATCCTATGTTCATCTCGACTGGTTTCTCACTCACGACTTTACTATTTGGTGCTTGGTACCCCCTCTCCTTCTAATTCTACTCCCACTTTACATATTCCCCCATTATATGTATCCGACGAATCAGTCAACGCCTCCTATAACTGATAGCCTCCACACGGTTTCTTATAAGTAGTCTGATTTGACCACTATGAAGGTAAACCCGTTTACGAAAGGGCCATTTAATAGAAAATCTAGTAAAAATTATAAATTTCTCTCAAGTACTTTTAAAATAGAATTTGGATCCATGCGCACTACGGGTTATTTTTTTAAATAGTCTGCGCAGACTACTTATAAAAACCCGTGTGGAGGTTATGTTTTTTGAAGTGCTGACAAAAGTTTTGTAAAAATTCTATCTATTATCTAACTCAGGGATTTCCAACTTACATTAGGCCGGGGGCCGCAATTAAAAACACCAGTCAAATGGCAGGGCTGTAACTTTCTCAAAAATTTATATAGGACTCTTTTATGTTTGAAAGAACATTAAATATTACTGTTAGACTTTTATCAAGTTGTATTGAATTACAAATTAAAATAAGTAGATTTTTACGTGAGAAATAAATTTTTTTTTTCACCGTTGGTATATTAAATTTCACAGAATCGAAGAAATTAGGTTTTTTTTTTTAAAACGAAAGAAAAGTATTTTAAACCGTATAGATTTTTTACGAAAATTGTCCGCAAAAAAATCACAACTAATATATTTTAGTTCGCTGGCCACAAAAAAAGGCTTCGGGGGCCGGATGTAGCCCGCGGGCCTCCAGTTGGTAACCACTAATCTAACTTATAACAATTCCAGTTTACCACCACTTATTTTGTAACAAATGCTGGTATATTTACTACCATTTTTTTCCATACATTTGTGAGCGAGCATTAATCAGGTTAAAACCACTTTTTTACTTTTCTAATGCCTTGTTCTGAATAATTTTAGGCCATGAAGGTTAAGGCCCCACAATATTGAGACCAACGGCATGATTGTAGCGCTTTGGTCAAAATAAAGCCGTTTGGTTTTAGCTTGTCTGGGAAGTAAATTGCGCACCATCCGCCTTTACTTTACAACGACGTTATCCATTGATTTGAAGATGGGTGTACTTCAGGCCACTATTGAAAATGTAATTCTTCATATTTCCTTGCTCATCGAATCAAATTTTAGGCTTTTCCTTATTATTTAACATTTAACCTTTTTTGTTGTTGTTAGTTTTACTTGAACTAAATTTAGCTTTAAACAAAATTAAAGTGTTTGATGTGGTGCTCATAGTGTAGGAAAGAAATTTATTAGTTTAAGATGCTTTTTTGTAATACAGTTTTTTATGAAAAAAAAATACAAGCAAGCTTTTTGTTAGAAATGATTGTTTAGTTAAAATAGTTTTTTTTTTAAAGTTCCCCTAATTGTTGATATTTGGAGCTTTAGAAATTTTGAAGAAATTTCACAATTTCTTCTCCCTTTATTATTAATTGATAACATCATAGCCATTGTTGTTATACCCAATACATACGCAAAATAATACCCAAAGATATTCCCCCAAAACAAACTTAAACTCAAATAATATTTATACCCATTACAGAATTTTGTTTTTGGAATTAAAATAAATAAAATTGAATTATACTTTTTAATTATGGGTAAAACGACTTTGCTTGAGAATTTTTGTTTGTTAAAATAAATAAAATGGAAATATGGAATTATACTTTAAATTATGGGCAAAACGACTTTACTTGAAAATTTTTGTTTGTTAAAATAAATAAAATTGAATTATACACATTAAGGGGGAAATGACTTTCCGTGAAAAATTTTGTTTGTTAAAATAAATAAAATGAATTATACTTATTAATTATGGAATAAATGACTTTACTTGAAAAATTTTGTTTGTTAAGATAAATAAAATGGAATTATAAGTTTTAATTTGGGGAAAACGACTTCAAAATTTTTTAATGTTAAAATCAATAAAATGGAATTATACTTTTTAGTTAAGGGGAAAATTGCTTACCAAAAACAGACGACCATACAGGCTCCTATTAACATGGCACATCCAGAAAAGAAAATAACGTAATTCATATCACCGACAAAATACATTCTGTTGATAAGATACACCTTACTAAACCACTGCTCAGATGTTAAGGCGGTACCACATTTTGCTGTCTGGTGTGAAACCGTTTTCCGCAGAAATCTATGACATCATTTTCAAGAAGAAAACAAAAAAAAAAGTGGCATCAAACTGCAAACGAACTTTCAGATCAACTTTTGTTAAAATTATTTCCGATTTTAATCCCACAACATAATGACAATACAAAAATAATTGACTTTTCGGTGTAATCGAATCTGGCATCGTTTCTTTTCATTTTTTTTTCTCAATCGAATTCGATTTTCTTTCCGCGGTGAACGTTTGAGAAAGGTTTTTTAATATATCGTTTGCTTTGATTAAAATAATTATTCCGATTTCGTTTGCTAGAAAGTTATATCTCACCAATTTGTGGCAACGTAAGTTCTACAATGGACAGGAAGCTCTTAGATGCGGAAAACAAGTATTTTTGTTCATTTATTTTAGACTTAAAAATAGTACATATTGTGCGAACGTTACTCAATATTTCATAAAAATAATAGTATTGTTTTTTCTTCTTTTTTTATTGTATGTTTTTTTTTAAAAGTTTTTATGGCAACATAAAATAGCATTATAAAAATTACAAACTATTTACACTGATTAGAAATTATTTCATTTTTTTTTCTCAAATAAAACAAAAAACTTTTGTGCCATTTTTAAAAGTAATGTATAATTTGTTTCTGCGACTTTTCTAATTAATAGAATACAAAACAAAATATTATTAAAAAACTATCAATGGGTTATACCTGTAAAAAATCGTCGAAAGTTTACATAAAAAGACACATTATTCCTCTCCTCTTGCAGTAAGACTTAAAATGTTAGCTAAAATTAGCAAAAATTCTCTAAGCTTTAGTTTTTAATTGCCTAAAACTCAGTATTTTGCAAAATGCGTAGTAGTTGGCAATCTTTTTAATGAAATGGCAAAATAATAAGGTAAAAATTGTCATGAAGGCTAATAAAATTTGTTGGAAGCGCCAAATCTTAAGCTTAAATATTTAAGCTTTAGTAGCTTAAATATTTAATTTTTAATAATTATTTTGGGGAAACCGTAAATTCAATACGCAATATTATAATGATAGTTTATCAGGAAAGCCTCCACACGGTTTTTTTTGTAGGTAGTCCGATCAGACCACTATGAATGTAAACAAGCATACGAAAGAAGCATTTAGTACAAAATCTAGAAAAAATAAGATAGTAGTAGCAAATATATGTCTAAAAATTTGTTTAATTTTTGAATTTGATTGGTTTGTCTTATTTATTTGTCTACCACTACAGATTCAATTGTTAAATATATATGATAAATTTCTCTCAATCACTTTTTAAAAATAGAATTTTGGTTCTAGCGCACAACTGGATAAACTGGTTTATGTAGTCTGCGCAGACTACTTATAAAAAACCGTGTGGAGGCTTCCTGATGGCCACAGACGACTAAAAATGCAAATAAAATTAAAAATTTTATTAAAAGAAATTAAAATTGGCAACGTTTTATAGCATTTTTTTTTCAGTTTACTATTGAAAGAGAATACAAAAAAGGTTTGTATTTGAATAACATGAAATGTAAGTGACGGTGGGAGATGAGAATGAATAAATAAAGAGATAATTAATAAATAAAAGTGAATTGAGTTTCTTACATAAATAGTCGACTGCGACTTCCCTGGATTAGATATTTTAATGTTTTTTGATATGAAATAATATAATTGCGGATTTTTAAGAACTAAAGTGATAACTAACACTACAAACTATTCATAGAATTGAAGCACAAGGATTTTACTACGTTTTTATGTAGGTATTCAGACCTGCCAACTGCTACTCCTTCCAATGGAGTATTCACCAGGTGGTAGTAAAAGACTAATTGAAATGCATACCTGCCAACTTTCATTCCTTCCGAGAATGGATTTTCCAATTGGTAGTAAGACATTTACCGAAAAACAATCCAACTTTCTTTCTTTACGATAATGGATTTTCCAATTGGTAGTAAGACATTTACCGAAAAACAATCCAACTTTCATTCTTTACGATAATGGATTTTCCAATTGGTAGTAAGACAATTACCGAAAAACAATCCAACTTTCATTCTTTACGATAATGGATTTTCCAATTGGTAGTAAGACATTTACTGAAAAACAATCCAACTTTCATTCCTTCCGAGAATCGATTTTCCAATTGGTAGTAAGACATTTACCGAAAAACAATCCAACTTTCATTCTTTTCGAGAATCGATTTTCCAATTGGTAGTAAGACAATTACCAAAAAACAATTTTATTCAAAAATATTTTTATATTTAGACCAGGTTGAAATTCGCAGAGGTACCAACTTGCTCCACTTTGTAAAAAAAAATATTTTCTAGTGGTAGCGAAATTTATGTCATTTTTAGTTTCGTATTTTTCATTTTAAGTAATTTTTCCATCATTACATATCAAAAATTTAAAGTATCGTTATGAAATGCAACTTTATTGTAGTGATCTAGTGGTTACACTTTTAAAGAGTAGATGTAACTATTTTTATTATTTATTTGGCTACCACACTTTTTTAAGACTTTTACAGAAAGCGGAGCAGTTGGCATCGCTATCATAAAGAATATTATGCTTTTATATATTTGTCGTAATTATTTATATGTAGTGGTGGTCTAACTCATTTATAATTATTGTTATAATTCAAAAAGTTTAATGGTGTATAACACGAGTTTCGCTACCACTTTAAATATGAAAATAAAATCTTCCGGGAAAACCGTAACAGTTGGCAGCTACGGCAAATGCAATCGTAGATAAAATTGACTTTTTGCAATTGCTGTGGCTTACACTCATTTTCGTTTTGATAACTTACACTTACACACAAGATTGATTGATTTGCATTTAGTGGTAATCGAAATCACATTTAATTAAATTCATAAATCCAAGAATTTTATAACCGTCGTTGAACAGCAGACCCAATTTTATGGGTCTGCTGTTCAACGATCTGCTGTACTCCTAATGTTCAACTCCGTAGCCTTGTAATTTTGAACCCAATCCTGACTCCTGGATCGAGTAGTGGGAGAAAATTGCCTCCGTGGAGGACTTTTTGATGGAGCTAACCCGCATTTGCGTTACATGGAGAGGAAGACCGCGAGAACCTCCCACGGTTAGCCTAACGGCAAGGGGACTCGAACCCATGATCCGTCTACCAATGAGGATATTTCACGTCAGCATTGTGGGCGGTGCAAGCTGGATGCGGAATTTGTATCGACTGGGATTCGAACCCGGTTCGCCGCATTGGAAGGCGAACGCTCTATCACCTGAGCCATCGCGGATCAAATCCAAGAATTTAAAAGAAATGTATAGGACTCAATACCACTTTAAATGAAACACAATGAAATTTCCGTAGATGTTGGCAGCTAGGGGCGTTTTTCACGCCCATACAAAAAGGGGAATTTCTACCATTTCGGCAAGAAATTTGTTAATTTTCTATAACTCAACATAGTTTTTTCGAGTCTCTTTCGCAAAGGAAAACAAGTTTAAGTGTCTTACACTTGAAGCGAAGCTATAATTTTGCACTGTATTTGCCGTCTTTCTGTAAAGATTTATCTGGGCTTTAGAAAGAACAAATAACTATAATATTTTAAAATTATTTTAAAAGTTTTTAAAATGTCACCAGTTTAGTGACATTTTTTTACCTAGATGAAAATTATTAAATTCAATTTCTCATTCTCATTCTTTTCAAATTCTTATGAGCCCAGATAATGCAACATTAGAGTAAGTTTTTAAATATTACAAAATTACACCACAAACGGTTTTCATTTTCTCAAAACTGTGGCTTTTCTTCATACTGATGTTTTACGCCATTTTTAGACTAAACATAGAGGGCGCTGGCTAAAGATGACCTAACAGTGATGAGTATAGTTCGTTCGTCAGGAGTTGGCCTTTGGCTCCACCTTCATCACGTGGTATCCGACGATACCATTTCGCTATTTCTGGGAGAAGGATGTGGACCATCCTGAACAAGGTTGCTAATTTGGCAATCGTCTGACAAAAATATTTATTTCGCAATCCTTATGCGCATTATTTTAACACTAAATATTTCATAAATTTGATGACATTCCTCTTATTTGAGTGAATAGTTTGTCCTTTTTGAGACATTTAGCTGCAATGTATTTAATTAGCTAGAGTAACGAAATGGATAACAGCAGATGATAAAACGAAGTAAGTGACTGAAAAAGAATTCACTGTTTGCGTTTGGCGCGCATTGATGGTTGTCTCAATTTCAAGAGCGGAGATCCACTCTTGACTCTTCGTCCGAGGAGGTGGAGCCAAGTGCCAACTCCTGGTGAACAAACTATAACTGTTGCAAACGTAGATCAGCTATGAAAACAACATATCGAATCACTTCACGTGACTTCGACAAACAGCCTTTTAAATTTACTTCAAGTTTTATTTATTTGTTTAAATTACACAAGTTTAGCGATAATCAAAATCATCAAACATCTAAGCTATTAATAAATTCGTATTTATTACCTCATTTAATGTTATCTATATTGAAGAACGCTAGAATGGGAGAATGTATATCTTGAAGTAGACATGGATGAATTAAGAAATTGAATAATAATGAATTAAATTTCAACAGCTTTTTAATTTTTTCAGTGCATCAATGGAAGAATTTGATATCATGATAATTCTACAAAATTACAACAGAAAAATCTTTGGAAAGGAAATTTAATGTGTTACAAAAACATTTCTCCCTTACATATTTTAATTATTTATAGCATTAAATTTTTTTAATACTTATGACTTAAAAACTTTAAATGCATTTATGATTTTGTAATGTTTGCCATTAAATAATTTTCATAATTTTCGATATTTTAGTAAATTACAGTTCAGCTTATTAATAATATTTTTTTTAAGTAAGTAATTTCGGTAACGAAACTCAATGATCAAACAGAATATTAGTAATCAATTAGTAGGGTTGACATGGGACTTCTATTTAAACAATAAGTTTCCGAATCTTTATGGTTAATATAGTTAATTTTATTACAGTTGAAAAAATTTAATGATTCATTTTAAAAAAAAGTTACATATTTCATAGTTAATTTGAATAATTTGGGAGATCCACCAACAACTCCTACATCTGAAAGCCTCCACGCGGGATTTTATAAGTAGTCTACTCAGATTATTTATAAAGTAAACCAGTTGTACACATGAAGCCCAAATTTTATTTTAAAAGTAAATGAGAAAAATATATCATACATATCTGAGAATTGAATCTGTAGTGGTTGACAAGTAAATTAGACAAACTAATCATATTGATAAATTCAACAAATTTTTAGGCATTTATTCACTACCACTTTCTAATTTTTAGTAGATTTTCTATTAAACGGCTCTTTCGTAAACTGGCTAACACGTTGAATGCCTTTTACATGGCTTGCCCGTCTGGCCAAACGGTAAATAACTACAAACTAAATTAGCAAATTTGACAGATTTTGCTAGTTATTTGAAAGGTTTAGCATGACATGTCTGGAAAAAAGTGGTGAATTATATAAGAATACGAATTATTTAGAAATAGTGGTGGATA